TGAAAGGTGCAGCTTACCATCAAGAGTTACAAGAATACCTGTAATCCCCAATTTTTGCACCAAGGGGGGCTTTTGGCAGGGGGGCTTTTGGCAGGGGGGGCTTTTGGCAGGGGGGGCTTTTGGACTACACCCCAATTGGACCAACCTCGTAGAGCAAAAAATTCCTCAAGTCCCAACATCCCGGGTAAATACATAAAGACCAGGTTATTCCTGACGACGAGTTTAATTCGCGACGAGAGATTATTCCAGGCTGACCAGGTTGGGCCTGACGACGTTATTCCAGCCACCCGTTGTGTCAACGTCGGTGTCGTTTTCTTTGAAGTGAAGTTAACACCAACAGCCAGCCGCGAAATTCGGTTGGAAGAACAATGAATGTGACATCATTCGAACCATTTTCATTCCCCGGGGAATTAATTACCCATCACCAGTGGTGCGTCTTCCTCCGCGATAATTATTATTCTGAAAAGGGTAGAACCATAAGTTCTATTCCAGCGTTTCGTGGTCTCAAGTTTATTTTTCTTCCTGTTTCAATTTTCTTTATCTTCTTTAACTGAATAATGTTTCTGGTTCAATGTAATGTCTTACAGGAATATAAAAAAAAAATTATGAAACATTCGGGGCATATGAAAACCCTTTGTAATGAGTTGAAGGTCCTCAATCGTTGATGTTTTGCTCAAGCTGTGGAGAACTTGTTGATCAACCTGCTTCATTTTATTTTTTTTGCCATATGGTTGTTGTTGAATGCATTGTTTAACTGGATCGGGACTGATGGTGCCTTTTATTTGCCACTACTGATGTCGAGTAATGGGCAATAAATGATCAATTTGAGGAACGTTTTTTCGTCGAGTATGTTTAATTAAGGAGGGACACTATGCGAACCGACACTGGGTATATTATGTAGCATGCCTTTTCAAACCTGCTGTGTTAAATTGGTGTGAATCGTGTGGTTAATTGTATTCTGTGTCCCCATATTTCCTGGTTCGACATTTTTACCGGAAAAAAACCTTCCAATGAGGGTTTTATACCGTGAACATTACGAGGGTTCTCACTAAAGTTCTCGGAATAGAAATGAAAATGGCGTATAATCGAGCTTAAAAAAATTTATTCTTTACGGAAAACAAATTCTTTGGCACAAAAAAAGAATTAGCCTGTTTGACAATTTTTTTACATCATCTTTTGAATGGAGAGCAAAACTCTGCCAGGGTGAATTTTACAAAACATTCCAAAAAAATTGTCAAACAGGGCTGATTTTTTGTGCCAAAGAATATGTTTTCCATAAAGAATAATTTTTTTCAGCTCGATTATACGCCATTTTCTATTCTATTCCGAGAACTTTTGTTAAAACCCTCGTAATGTTCACGGTATGAAACCCTAAAAAAAGAATCATCCTGCTTGACAAATTTTTTTTTACATCACCTTTTGAATGGAGAGAAAAACTCTGCCAGGGTAAATTTTACAAAACATTCCAAAAAAATTGTCAAACTGAAAAAAATTGTCAAAAAGAAAATCAGCCCTGTTTGACAATTTTTTTACATCACCTTTTGAATGGAGAGAAAAACTCTGCCAGGGTAAATTTTACAAAACTTTCCAAAAAAATTTTCAAACAGGGCTGATTTTTCTGTGTGTCAAAGAATATGTTTTCCCTAAAGAATAATTTTTTTTTTCAGCTCGATTATACGCCATTTTCATTTCTATTCCGAGAACTTTCGTGAGAACCCTCGTACGGGAAGGGAAAACGTAAATTTCTGAATCAGAGTTGGGATGCACTTCTGGACGTTCTGGTCTTTGAAGATGGAAGGCTTATTTTCAGTGAGTTGTAATGGCAGCATTTGCGAAAAATCAATCAATGGAGAGGCTTACGAAAAATTGAAATTTGGTCAAATAAAAGCCATTCTTGAGCCAATTTACTATCGCGTCACACAACGTTTCGTGGCTTATTTTTTATTAAGCAATCATAATCCTTGCATTCAAGATGCGGTTTGGAAAGTACGAGGGTTCTAACAAAAGTTCTCGGAATGAAAATGAAAATGGCGTCTGATCGCGCTGAAAAAAAAATTATTCGCGAGGGCCAACATATTCTTCGGCACTCGAAAAAATCAGCCCTCTTTGATAATTTTTTTCAATTTTTTGCAAAATTCACCCTGGCACAGTTTTTGAATTCTGAGGGGAAAGCAGGACCACGAAAAAAAAACTGCAGGAAGGGTGCCTCATCTGTTGAGTGTACAGCAAAACTCTGCCAGGGTGAATTTTGCAAAAAATTGAAAAAAATTGTCAAACAGGGCTGATTTTTTTTGTGCCAAAGAATATGTTGGCCCTAAAGAATAATTTTTCTTCAGTTCGATCAGACGCCATTTTCATTTTCATTCCGAGAACTTTTGCTAGAACCCTCGTATATGGCTGTGGCATAATCAGTGACAGGGTCTGATTTTTTTATTTTTGTTGGAATAACTCAGTGTTCTGTACAGTGCAGTACGTGCTCTTTTTCGCCAAGTGAGTTGCATCTATACAGCACATGTATGTTTACCTATGACGAAAGTCTGATGCGTAATCTTTTACTGCAGTGTTGTGCTTCGCGTCGCGAACGTTTCGCTTCAAAATCCCCCTGCGTTTCGAAATCAAAGTTTTGCAGACGTTCCACTACTATCTGTCTGTCATGCAGACATTTACGGACTGAAAAAAACGCAACAACAAAGCAATGCACGATGGCCGATAAGGGCCCTTCCCTGATTTGCATATACAGTATGAACAAACAAGAGGCTCGTCCGATTTATTTTCTCGTCCACGCCCCTATCCGAAAATCAAGACCACGGAATAAAATACGAAGCAGCCCTTCTCCAATAATGTAATACCACGAATTGATTCCTCAAGCCTTTTCCTTAAAAGAAACCGAGTTCAGATATGAGGCCCTGGATTCCTTATATACCCAAGTGGACCAGCAGCAATTCAGGCATATTTGGACAGAGAGCATAGCTCAGATGCAGTTGATACTGTTGCAGTATCCCGAATGAGAAGAGAACGTTTCCTACTACCCAACTCCCAAGGCCAGGATATGGAATATTATGGGAGAGAAACGCTATCCAAATCTGTCGCCGTTGTTGCACAGGGAGAGGGAGGGAGGGAGGTAGAGAGAGTCAAGAGGGCAGGCGGCGAGGGACGCACGGCAGTGAGCATTCCCTGCCAGCAGCGTCACGGCACTCGTCCACACGCTGGGTGCACATACCGTGTGCTGTGCTAAAATAAAATTCAGATTCGCCATAATCATGCGGAAAGGATCATCTGTTTCGGAAGAAAAGTCGCATGCTTAAAACGATATAATATATATGGAAAAATGTAGATCTATTTATATAATTTGGCTTTTGAGGGCCTACTGTATTCTGCTGTGAGTACATCCAGCGTATGATGTGCTGCGGCGGGACTCGGATGCTCAGTTGGATTCTGCGTCGCGCAGCGCCCACCGAGTGAAACCCAGGGTTGGAGGAGAGCTGTATATACCTTGCAAGACTTTTGCTGCCCTTGCTCATGGTAGCCAACTCAGCAGAGTGCAATTCTCTTCAGTGCTTGAGAATTTCTAAAGAATCGTGTGATGTGTACATCCATTTCATAGTTATTCTTCTTGAGTGACGTTGAATTCAAATGATACAGTACTCAGGTAGTACTGTACAGCAGTTATCTTCTTGATGCGGATTGCTATAGTCTCGCCCCCAAGTTCATTTTGATATGAGTCTGAAAGTTTCTAGTTCCTGGAATACTTTCGTGAGCTCAGTCGAAATTATGCCGAAATGTAAAAAATTTAAAAAATTCATTTCAGAATTGAACAAACATTCATTTCGGAATCTAAAAAATAAATAAACAAAATTTTCATCAGCACAAATCAAACGCCCGGATTTTTCCCTTCATTGGTATTATTTGAGGAAAAGCAAGAAAAACAAGAATAATGCCTACAATTTTAATTTTGACACTGAACTTCGTGAACGTATTTCAATGACCATGATTTCCATTACATTTATACAGTACTTCTGAGTAAGTTCAGTAATTCTGAGTTGAGTGAAGTTAATAATTCATCGACCTTTTATCCAGCAATCAACGTTGAAGTCAACATACCTATTTTAAGCTTGGAAAAATTACTATTCAAGTGGATAATACAGTATTTGGAAGATGAACTTGATGTAAGTAAGAAAAAAATAAGCAAAAATGTATTCTTTAGGACTGAGTATTTTTTTCCAGTCGGGATTCAGTTTCATGACTTCTGCACATGCTGACATACAGCACAAAGCTGCTAAACGTATTTTGGTGGAAAAATCTAAAATGAACGATTTGCTCTCATCATGAGGAAATAAATGCATATATCCAAGTTATCTTTTAGAACTTTTGAACCAGAAAAGCTGTAATCAGATCAAAGGAGAGGTCGATTAAAAATCTGAAACAATTCTTTCATGCGTTATAATTCTCGAATATTTCAAACATTACAGGGAATCTAACGGTAACAAATGATTTGTTCTCAAAAAAAAATAGAAGGGGGATACAAATTCACACGTTTTCGGAAATAATCGTCCTTCCGAAGAAATTCAATTTTCATTTCAGCCCGCATCAGAGCTTTCAGCATTTAAAATGTGCGTCATGCCGCAGTTTCCCGATTAGACAAAAACATCTGATCCGTTGTTTGACAAAGTTATCGAAACGATCACATACACAGTAAATGCACTGCAACAAAACGCCTTCTACTCAAGTGCACACATTTCATAAATTTCCATTACAGATACACAGTAGCAAGTACCATGTTCTCTCTATCGTCGTAATGATTTCGCTCACACACGTTCAAACATCAATATACAAATACTGTACAAGTGAACTCACGGGGTTCCAATAGGATGCTGTTCGACAGTCAAGTTGAAAATTGCATGTGAACGACTGCTGGCAGCATTCATTGCTGTCGCGCCAACAGCTCGTCGTTCGTTGCCTTTGGCCAATAAGTCCATCACTTGGCCAAAATACATTGCAACAGCATGGGTTCACAGTCAACAAGAACAGGTCCACCACCCAGAGGGGCTTCTCTCAAACCAATACTTTTTTCCGGGATTAAACGCCAGCAAATTCCCGGAACTATTATTCGTAGAGCTCCAGGTATGAAATACTAAGGGAAAATTCTTTGAAAGTTTCCACCAACTTCGTTCCAGGAATATTTTTGTGGATCTTAGTCGAAACTATGTAAACAAACAAGTACTTTTCCTCGCGAAAGTATTAAATTGGATTATCCAGTGTGGTACCTCTGCGGTAAGTAAGTCATTGCTGTGGAAACGATGGCGTTCAGCATAGCACGACCGAGTGTGCGTTTCGTCGCGAAACACGGCGGGTATCAATGTGAGTACCGTTTTTTTCATGGGTTGTAATTTCGGGTTCGTAATCTGAATGCCCTTTGTGACAAAAGGTGTCCGATCAGTGACGACGGTACCCGGTGAACCGAGTGGCCCAAAGGTAGTGACTTCTGATGTTCCCGGACCAAAGTCCAATGCTTTGCTGAAGGAACTGGGCAAAATCCAGGTAATTCCAGAACGGAATTTCGTGGAAAATCCTAAAATCCTTTCGTTTTTGTTGAGAATATACAGCCAGACCCCCAGATGCGGACATAATTGGTGCATCAAGAGTGTCTCTAAGTTGAGTCTTGTTTTCCCATAGACTTACATTATATAATTTTTGATTGGTGTTTTATGGAAGAAATATTCTTCAGAATTCCATGAAAAAATTTTTGTTGAATTGAATTTGATTCAGGGAATATCTTTTCAACCCAATAAGAACATCTGGAGTATAGAATAGCACAGTGAGACCCCCACATGTGGACGCCTTGACCTGCGGACAATTCGACATAGGGACACTTATTTTCCCAGAAAAAATCAATAAATAAGGCCCAACATGAGGACACTGACTAGACACAAGGACATTTTGTGATAAAATTGCAAATACATTTCAGGCCAAATTACAAGAAACAGACATTTCAAACCCTAAAATTGATGTGAGAAAAGTTCTTGGGCATTTCTCTCACCAAATTGCCATCCATTAAGCTAATTGAAAAAAATTCCCTCCAGCATAGAGGGACTTTTACTTTTTTCACTTGAATGTTATTTTTTGTAGATGCCAAAATTTAAGTTTACAGTACAGAGATACACTATTCAATGCTCCAAATGTTCTTATTGAGTTGAAAATGTGTTCACTAATTCAAATTCAAATGGCAAACAATTTTTTCGGGAATTCTGAAGAATATTTCTTCCACAAAACACCAATTAAAATTATACAATGTAAGTCAAAGGGAAAACAAGACTCAACTTAGGGACATTTCCACTTGGGGACACTCTTGATGCACCAATTATGTCTGCAACTCGGGGTCTCACTGTATACCACTGTACCGTTCATTGAAATGTTGGCATCTGTAAATATAACATCCAACTCACAAAGAGAAAAGTAAGTCCCTCTGTGGTATAGGTAATTTTTTTAAATTAGCTGAATGGATGGGAAAGTGATGGGAAAAGTACAAAATAATTTTTCTTGCATAGATCTTAGGGTGAGAAATATGTTTCTTGCAATTAAGCTTAATAAAAGTCAATTTTCCTCAAATTTATTTGCAGTTTTATCATGTAATGTCATCATGTCGAGTAAGTGTCCGTATGTCGGGCCGTTTTTGTGATTTTTAAAAATTGAAAAATAAGTGTCCCTAAGTCGAATTGTCCGCATGTTGGGGTCTCACTGTAATTTTACCAATTTTCAATAAATACAGCAAACAGGCGGTGTTGCCATGTTCATGGACTACAAGAAATCCATCGGGAATTACGCTGCAGACGTCGATGGCAATTTGTTGTTGGATTGCTTCACTCAAATCGCCTCCATCCCGCTGGGTTACAGTCATCCTGCCCTCATGAAGGTTGCTAAAGCTGAAGAAAACGCGGTGAGTGCAGAAAAAAATAACCAGCGATATTCCCGGAAGAACTTGAACCGTTATTTTGGAATAAAAGTACGGAAGATCGACCCAAGAAGGGCTTAAGCCTTTTCAATCCTCTTCGGCGGCATTCAGAAGTTTTGGCAAGACCCAGGCTTACCAACAGTATTTCCTTAAAAATCGGCAATTGGCCGCCTGGAAAATATCCGGCAGCCCTCACAATTTTAAAACTTTTTTCATTTTTATTTATCAAGGCCACAATTTTTGTACCATTTTATTTCATCACCCACGCAATGATTCATTTTTAAGTCACACTGGATTCCGGGTCCAGTCCAAGATGGGGCATGGCAACACTTCGGAAAAAACGACGTTAAAGAACAAATTCAGGACGTTTTTATCTGCTAATGAATTTAAATTTGTGATTTTTATTCCGTCTTGTGCGTTCGTATCCAGTAAATTTTGTTGAATGGATGGAGGTTAATTTTGTCGTACTTTTTACGGACTTATACAGCTCTTCAAAAATTTCAGACCACATGATTCAAATTTGTGTCTACCAAAGTTTTCCGGGTACCGTTAATTGTGAAAGCGCGAGTAGTTTTTGATTTAAAAAAGGATAATTTGGTCTCAAGCTCCATACTGACGAAAAAAAATCACAATTCTTCCACAAATTCGTCGACCCATAGACTGATGCGTCGTAAAATGAGTGAGGTATGAAAAAATCGCGTCAAGTCACTGATCATAAGGCTATGTGTGTAAAAATATTTTCCTGAATTACAGTAAAAAAATTCGAATCACATATTCCTTTCTATTGCTGAATTTTTCAATGCGAAACCGTTACTGTCAAGGTTTTCTTAGTCTTCCTTTTTGAAGCGGACTACAGTACTTGAAAATACAAAAGCAATAGTTGATGCCCTCCTGTTATCGTTATTTTAAAGGCAACCATGATATCCTTGTAATAAACCAGTCCATTCCATCAACAAATATTTCCGGATGCTGTCTGAATTTGTTTTGAATACAACCATCCGGTATAAACCTCTTCAACTGAAATGCTTCCGCCTCAAACCTCCATAACTCAAATTTTCTGGAGGTCTGGCTAATATTTTATTGACACATAAAAATGAAAATTGACGTGCTTTGAAAGGAAGGGAAAGACAATTTTGGGCAAATTAATCTTAGCCTTCAAGTTCTGCATCCTATGAACTCATTGTGGAAGCAATCTAAGACCCAGAATTTCACAAAGGAAAATTTCCTGCAATTATTCTCTCTTTTCCCTCCCCCCTATGCAAATGCCTGTTCCCCTAACTGGAAACTTTCCTGACTCAAAATTGTTTGCTAGTCCCAGTGAAGTTCAAATTAGAGAGGTTAAGCTGGAATTCACAGGTGGTCTAGAGCCCAGTGTTCCCCAACCTTATTTGTGACTGCAAACTGGAGAATTTCTATAACATTTTTGGTGGACCAGCAAATTCCCAAAAAATTGTCTGCTGACAGGCAGAGTTTCATAAAATGTGTAACAGACTGGAAAAAATTTTGCTTGACAGACTTAACAGCAGGTGTATAAAAGTTGTTGCTTCTTCCAAAAATGAAGTTGAGCACACATGAAGCAGCTATAGCTGAATGTCACCAAAAACTTAGAAAGGTGAACATTAAAATTATTCATTTTAGCAGGTAAAATCGTGTCTGAAGTACTGTCATTAGGATAAAAGCCAACTTTCATGTTTCATCAAATGCTTTCAACTGCCTGTCTTTCGAAAGTTTTAGAAAATAACAGAATTCATCGCAACTTTCAATAAGTTGTATGCTGAAAATTTTCTTCAGCATAATTGATTAAAAAAAATTAGCAATGAAGTCTTATCTTCATCTGAAATGTCTGAAAGACAATGACAGTTGAAATAATTTGATTGAAAAAGGAAAGCTGGCGTTTCTCCTAATAACACTTCAGACAAATTTTCATATGCTGGTAGAAATTGTTTCAAATTGCATTCTGAGAAACCTTTGTTCAAGTTCACTTTTCTGATTTTCTGAAGAGATCCCACCATAACAGCTGCTTCATTGGTTCTCAATTAAATGTTTGCAGAAAAAAATTAATTGTTAATGTCTGCCATGAAGTCTCTCAATCAGCATTTTTTGAGTCTGAAAAACTCTTCCAAAAATTTGCCAGTCTGCAAACATTTGTATGGAAAATTGCTAGTCTTCAGACCCAAAAAGGTTGGGGAACACTGGTAATCAGAATCCAACTAAATTAATCATTGAATCTCCAATGAGACGACATTCTGACAAGAGAATATGACTCGGTTTGACATAATTACATTTCAGGCCATTTTCGTGAACCGGCCCGCGTTGGGCATGTACCCAACTGCCGACTGGCCACAAGTGCTTCAAAGGACCTTGATGTCAGTGAGTGAGGCATTTGTCGACTTTCAAATCAAGTGCATGGTTACCCGAGTGTGATTGTGTGGTGCAGGTGGCCCCCAAGGGACTGGAGGAAGTCATCACCATGGCTTGTGGGTCGTGCTCAAACGAGAATGCTTACAAGTGCTTGATGTTCACACTGGCGGACAAGAAGCGAGGCGGAGCAGATTTCCCGCAGATCGATCTGGACACCTGCATGATTAACCTGCCCCCTGGCTCCCCGAACTACTCCATCTTGTCCTTCAAAGGTTTGAAAGAAAAAAAAAACTATCCCTATAGGGTACTTTCCTGTTATCTCTGTACCTTCCCTTTGACAAATGTAACCTGACCTAACCTAACTTCACCCAACCACCTCCCAAAATCAGTTTCTGCTTTCTTTGGGTTTCTGCTTGTTTCAGCAGAATGCGGAAAAATAAAATTCACAGTTTTTGGTAGGTCATCGTGATTATGAACTCATCCTAAAGATTTGTCTGGATGGTAGTGCGGTCTAGGAATGAGGTACATAGATAACAGGAAAGTACCCCCTATAGTTATACTGTACAGTATAGAACTAAACCTGAAGAGAAAAAGAAGGGGAAAAAAGAGAAGTCTTTGATGAATCTCCTAGAACATTTGAACCATCCAGTTGGAAGAAACTCTGTGTTTGCTTGAATACATTTGCACCTTCAAGACTAGCTCTTTGATTTTGGTGCAAAATTCACCAGAAACTCCCTTATTGCATGTTAGGAATAGAATTGGAAAAGGTTTGAAGAGTTTGACTTTGAACCTTCTTTTGATATTTTAAAATAAAGTTGGAACAACAATCAGCGGGGCTGCGGCCGGGGTGCTTGACACCCTAGTGTAAGGTTGATATATTTTTGAGGTTTCAAGGATTTTTCTGCAACAGCAGATTTTGCAAGCAGTCTTTTGCGCAAGACAAACCAGAAGCAACTGATGATCCAATACAAAGTCCATATTTGCTATTCAAACATATTTCATTCTATAATAATTTGTCCCTGAACAGTCTTATCCATTCAGAAGGATTTCCCCAAGAATTCAGAATCCTGTGGGAACTTGAGGTTGTACTTGGTCCCACCGGATCCCAGACTTTCCCAAAGTTTTGCCATTTTTACTGGCGCCAATATAACCTTGTTTTAACTCCATTGCCTACTTCAATTTCCAACATTGCATAGGAAATCCAAATATTTTTCTTCCACTAAATGATAAATTGTATCATATTGATTTTATTATAACAAAGTTTAAACTTTTCAAGTTAAACCAAGTTATGGAGGTGCCTAGGAATGGGAACAAGCAAAAGAAAAATTGTAGGAACTTGTAATTGATGACATTCTGGGCCTTGAACTTCTTCTTGAATGGGTTGGCAGAATGCATAACTTTGAGACAAGGTTTCCATTCCCCAATAAACCTTTCACTTCCTTTCTATAAGCACCAAGTTAAATCTTTATTGCTTTTCTCGTTCCTGTGTCAATAAAATAAACTGTGAACGAGGTTTGAGGAGGAAAGCCTTTGAGTTAAAGAGGTTTTTAATGTTTTGTTTCTATAGGAATTCTGACAGGGACTTGGAAGAAAATTCAACACAAGGAGGTACTTGAATTAAGGAGGTTTGAGTTGTCAAATTGAACAGCATAAAATAACATAAAGCATTAAAATAGGATATGAACAGAACAGGATTTTCTTTTCAGATTTTCACCCAAGAGTAATTTTTACTCACACCAATGTGGTTGCACAATTTATTTTTTATTTTTAAAAATGTATACCCAGATACCAGGTGAACCCCACTTTTCTGCCTTGATTTTCCTTAAAAAAGAAAAGAAGTTTGTACATGGTATCCAAGTAAACATTACATTCATTGCATTTTTTCAATGCTTAATAGAACAAAGCACAATTGATACTTTTTGTCTCCTCAAAATAATTGGCATGGCTATAGTAGGTGTCTGCATGCTTTCTTTCAATGGGGCTTCCAATAGAGATTTGTTCCATTTATGTATGGCTTTGAATGAATGAGAAACAATGAGTCAAGCTTCTCAAGCAGTGAAATTTCTTTGCTCACTCCACATTTCTTGTTAATTGTCCCAAGATTTGTTAGATAAGATGACAAAGAGAATCATAGTGAATGTGCTGACAATTGACTGCACTTTTTTTTGCTTTTCTATTTTGGCGCTCCATTAGTCAAAATCTCTCAAATGTGGAGT